TCTGATTTCTTGTCTTCTTATAAAGCCACAGTCCCAGTCGGGCTCGGTGGCTCAGCCTGTAATCCCGCGCATTGGGAGGCGGAGGTGAGTGAATTGCCTGAGCCCACGGGTTTGAGACCCGCCTGGGCAACTTGGCGAGACCTCATCTCTACAATAAATCAAAAAAATTAGCCGGGCATGGTAGCGCGCGCCTGTAGTTCCAGTGACTTGGATGGCTGAGGCGAAAGGATCGCCGGAGCCCAGCACGTCGAGGTTGCAGTGGCAGGGAGCGGCCACTGCACTCCAGTCTGGGTGACTAAGTGAGACTCCAACTCAAAAAAAAAAAAAGAAAATGAAATAAAGCCACAGTCCCATCATGGGGGCCCTATCTGATGACCTTATAGAATCTTAATTACCTCCCACAGACTCCACCTCTAATTACCATCAACATATGAATTTGATCAACTTCCCAGCACATACATTTGGTGGACACAGTCAATCCACTTGGTGGTACCTGACATCCCTCGATATGTTAGCCCTCTGGCCTGCCTTCAACAATAATACTATTTAGCCAGGTTAACCAGAAACCCTTTATCTTCCATGTTTCTCTTGGTAATTTTCCATCCACTGCCTTTCACCTCCCTTTTGGTGACATGAGGGGGGACCTCCAAAAACCCAGAATTTATTTATTAAAAATTGTGTATTTATCCTTACATGTTTAAACGTTAGTTACCTGCAAAGTACTCTTCATTTGATGCTTTTTCCACTGCTCAAAACAGTTTTCAAACTCATCAGTTCGGATGCCTCTTAGTACTTCTGCCATGTTTGTCTTGCATCTTCCACACGGGCAAAACCTTGTCCTTTGAGGACAAAAAAGTCACTCAGAACGAGATCTGGCAAATAGTGAGGATGGGACACAGGGTCCATTCCTTTTTTGGTCAAAAACTGCTGAACACTCAGCACAGTGTGGGCAGGTGTGTTGTCGTGGTGTAAGAACAAGTCACCTGTTTGCCACAACGTTGGCTGTTTCTTCTGCAAATTGTGATGCAACCTCACTGTGGGAGCTTTTCTGTTCTCTCAATAAATTCTGCTTTCTAAAAACAAACAAACAAAGAAAAAACTTCCAGAAAAGAACTTTGATCGTTTGATCCAGAGGAACAAATTCCAAGTGTACTACAAGGGGCCCATACTTCCCCCACCCAAAAAAAGACAATTCTGGCTTTTTGGGAGTCTCCCTCATAAATCCCCACTTGTCCTTGTTGGAGTCAGAAATGAGTCCAAACTCTCCTTCCCATGCAAGTGCTGGTTGTAGAGGCCCTGTACCCATCACCATGAGCTCTCCTGAATAAAATCTGCCTTATTATCTTCAACAAGTGTAGTGAATAATTTTTTCTTTAACACTTTTCAGCATTTATTTCCCTAATATTATATTTGCTTGTTTATTGTTCATCTGGCCCACTAGGCACTATGCCATGTACCATGAGTGCAGAAACTTGACTTTTCCCCATTCTTTTCCACTGCTTGGTGCACAGGAGACGTGAATTGTTGAATGAATGATCAGCACTTGTCACTAGGCTCCTATCCATTTTGTTCTCTATTAAATCCCCGAAGCCTTGAGCAGGGCTAAGAGTGCTAAGCGCAAGGGAGGGGGTAACTAAACTGACTGCAGGTGTCCAGGGAGGAGTCACAGAAACAACCGCATCTATACTGGAACTGGAAGGAAGAGGGAAAGCCAAGACCAAGAAAGGAAGAATTTCAGACAGAGGGAATCTCGCGAGTTTTGGGCCGCCAAGATGGCGCCTAGCACTTGCCGCCACACCCAACATGGCGACCAGAGCTAGTTCCTGGAGGAAATCTCGCGAGAGTTGCCTCACGGTGACTGTCCGTGAACTGAGCTGGGGGGTGTGGAGCTGCCAAGATGGAGCCGGCACCGGGCGGTCCCGGCCCACTGATGGTGAACAACAAGCCGCCGCAGCCGCC